GAGGGCATTTTTATCAAACAGATAGACAAATTGAAGCAAAATAAGTCCCCAGGGGCCCGACGAGTTTTTTTCCAGGGTACCTAAGGAATGCAAGATGGAACTTATCAGCCATTAACGAGTGTTTTAATGCATCCATCCTTACGGTGTTGTCCAGAGTTGTGGAAGCGGTAATGGGGTTTCCTTATTCAAATAGGGGAAAAGCCATTCCTTCAAATTACCACCAATAAGCCTGACATTAAAGGGGGAAATTTACTAGAATAAATTTATGCGACATTTTTAAAGTCACCTTAAGACAAACTTGATAAAGAAGTCAGCAGGGGTTCACAGAGGTCGTTCCGACAAAAAATTTTACCGACGTTCATCAATGGGACATTGAGGCCAGTGACAGTGATAAAAAAATGAAAATGTTTTTTTGGATTTTATAAAGCCTTCGATGGGTACCTCACAGAGATCTTAAGAAAAGTGGCAGTTAGGGTAAGGGGGAAAAGTTCTGCTGGAAGGGGCAGGGCTTACAAACAGAAAGCAAGAGTTTCGTTTAAAGGGGGGCAAATCTGAATGGGATTGTCCCTAGTGGCTTTCCAAAGGTCAGTTTTAGGCCCCCTCTTTTGTTCAAAATTTTACAAAATGCCTTGATGAAGGAATTACAAGTGACACAAAAATTTGCGATGTAAAAAGATAGCCATGATTCATTTTGAGGAGGACAGCAATGAACTCCGGAGGTTTGGAAAAATTTAAAAAAAGCCCCTTGGTCAAAAAATGGCATAGAAGTTCAATGTGGTAAGTGAAAGACTACCTTGGTAATGAAAATAACCCCGTGCATAAACTAGGTGAAGTAGAGCTTGATCGTGCAAATGTGAAAAAAGCTTTTGGGGTCATGGTAAGAGAAACCAATCCAAACGCAGGCCCATGGTGCAAACAAGGGGTAACATTACTTGGATTTTTCTCAAGAAGTTAATAACAGAAGTCCAAAGTTATTTTACACCTATACATCACTATGGGCCCATTTGATTATCTGCTCATTTTTTGGGCTCCTTACACGGGGAAAAAACCCTTAAGAACATACAGAGAAAAAACTAAAAAGATTTACTGGTAAGAAATCTCCCTGTGAAAAACAGACTTTAAAATTTAAATTTTTCCACCTCGGAGAATTTGAATAGGGGAGATATCATCGAAGTGTTACAAGGGATGAGGGCAAAACAAAGGAGATTTAATAAAGTACTGAGGAGTCGAACCAGGGAAGAACCAAAAAAAGGTTTAAATTTGAAAATTTTAATTTAAAAGGACTAGGTAAGTAATTTGGTTTTTTTAAAGATTTGTGGGTGCGTGGGAAAAATCTTTAGAAAAAAATACATGGGAGGGGGGGGTTGATTGGGCATTGGGGAAAGGGGGTTTAAATTTTTGGTACTTTGGGGGGAGGGGTTTTGTAAGGACCTGCCTTTTATGGGGCCTAGGCCTTCTACAGCGTTCCTCCATTCTTTGTTCTTATACGTAAGGTTAAGTCGCCCCAAAGCCTCTGCATATAGTGGCTTTTTTTTGTTTTTAAAAAAAAATTTTTAAAAGTAAAAAACACTTAAACCCTTTGCAAAGAACAAAATTTTTTTTTATTATTTTTTTTATTTTAATGTGAAATCAAAGACTTTTTACCTATTTTATAACAGGTATTCAACCACAAATACCTATTTGCATTTCTAAAACCCGGAAAAAAATGGCCCGGGCCCCAAACCTTTTACTATACTCCATACATGTGGAAGAAATCTTTTACTTTATAAATGCCCGAAAACTTTTCTCAATCCTCCTTGGAATCTTTATTCCCCTTTAACTTTTATTTTTTGATATTTTTGTATTTAAAATTCTTATACCATACTGGTTCAAATAACACTTCCACTTCAGTACCAAAAAGGTTTTCTTGTTACCCCGAAATTTTACTTTTTGCTTATTCTTTTTTTTTTTTTTTTTTTTTTTTTTTTTGACGTGCTGTTTGGGGACAGGGGACAGTAAAAATTAAGAAAATGTCAAGTGCTCCTAAATTTACTGTATCTGCCAAACAAAATTTTTCATCTTATTTATCATAATTTTTTTAATGAAAATTAAAATTAAAAACATTTTAAAAACATTTGTAATTAGTGGAATACACCAATTTTTTACCTCATCTCATTACTCATTTAAAAATTTAGCAATCCAAGCGGATTTTTTTGGGACGAGACTAAAACCTGCTGACATCTCCATAATTTAAAAAGTACCCCTAACCCTACTTGGGGGGGGGGGGAAACAACTGTCCCTGCACTCTGACCCATGTAAATCCATATTTTTCAAGAACTGCAAGAAACCTCGAATATTCTTCGCAGGAGCAGCCTGGACACAGGAATCATACTTAAAACCCACTGACACAGCCCCACACCATAAAGCTGGCAGTAAAGCAATCACAAGAAAACTATGGATCAATAACACTGACATCCCACATTATCAAAATCTTTGAATCTTAAAAAGTAAGACTCCTAATGACACAATCTCACCAACTGCACAACCCAGGTCTTGGATGTGGCAGAAGATGGACCAAATGAAGATGTAGTGTACACAGACTTTGCACAAGTCTGACAAGTACAACTACGGCATAATAGCCCACAAAATGCATGCAAAAGGAATATATGTACAACAGACCTATTCTTTCATGTCTAGGCCAATATTTACTGCTCAGCATATTTAAGGGCCCTATGATGAAGACTTGTATACAAGTAAGCACCACTGTCTTCAAACATGCCTACAGTATACATGGGTGTGTGAAAGCATTAAGCAATTTAACATCCCCCTTCCATTTGATACTTTTATGCTCTATGCATTATCTCGGATCTTTCTGAGGATATTTTATACAGACTACACTACATATGCATTATTTGGATTTAAAGAGCTTAGGACAGTTTTCTATGAAATATTTGACTGTTCATTTATGCTGTCATGGTTAGTTCTCTAGAATTGGCAAATAAATAAAACATCCCCTCACCTTTACCTTTGCTTAGGGTCTCCATGCTTACATTTATGCTTATTTGCACATCATTTCTAATGGATCTGTTATGCACTGGTTCAGTGCAAATTTTTTCGTGCAGTTTTAGGACTTCTCTGGTACAACCCTAAACCTGTACACTTTTGATGCAATTTCTGGTACAATGCTAAATGGCAAAAAGCTTATGCCCAATTAGCAGATCTTACTTTGTATTTTGATGTCAGACACTAACACTGCCAGTATCAGATGTTTTCCATGATATAGCATTGTAGGTATTAATAAAAAAATCTGGTTAAACACTTTAAAAATGGGAGACATACTTTACCTCACTTTGAGATAGCAATTCCTGAGGCTATGTCAAGAATAAAAACTATTTAGCAAATACTACCTCTACAATAACACTGACAGAAGATCAACTGAAGAGTCGGCACCCCACATGGCAAAGTCAAATTTTGTCTTCTAAACTTTATATGCATCAACACTAACCAAGCTACCTAAAACAAATTTCTAAAAATTACACAATTTAAGAATTTAAGAACAAGCATAACTAACTTGACTGTTTTACTTGGGAGTCAATTCATCAAATTAGTCCTTAACATACAAAGCCCCTGCATTTCAACACGAAATTCTCCTGGGAACATAATCAAAGAACTCTGAGCAGGGAATTTCACACATTACTGGGTGTTTTCAGATCTGACAGGATGTAGTGAATATATAATGCTTGATGGTGAGAAAAGCAGCCATAGCCTAATCCATCAGTTTACCATCTAAAAAAACTTTTAGCTGCAAACTTTTAATAGATAAAAATTACCATACTCTACACAGAATCAATGTATGTACAATAATCACTGTACAGTATTCAAGAGAATGGTCTTTTATGAGAAAATTTAAAAGACCACAGCAAGCATACTGACCCATTTGCATCAAATTATTTTCATTAAGTACAGAATGGGACCACACAAACATGCACATGTACAGATGTACACATACTGTACAAATGTAGACACAATGTACACACATCTACAGACATGTACACACAGCATGTCCATCCTATTTTTAAAGTTTCCACAATATGTTCGCTTAAACCCTTGAACCGTGATCCTGGAATGGAGGTAAGAAAGATGCATCATAACCTGCACCTAGAAAATTCTTTAAGAACTGCACACCAAAATTACTCCCAAAGAGAACAAGGGGCTCAGCAGACAATGCAAAATACTTCCAATGAAAAGCAGGAGTGAAATAAGCTGCGCTAAGAGAACTCAATACAGGAGCAATGAGTAATTACGCTGAGAACTCAATAAATGTTGGGAGAATTTTCAAAGCTGTCTTTTCATAAGAAGAACTGCCAAAAGATCACTAGCTGTCTTCAAGAGAACCTTCAATTCAAGTTAGTTCCTTATCAGTCAACTTTTGATGCATATGTTAGACTACATGCAGACAGCACCAACAGCCTGGCTGATCAGGCTATTAACCAGGAGGCTTGGTCTGGGTCACAGGCCATAAGGGGCAATGACCCCTCCTGCCCTCATGAATAAACCTCAGGTAACCACTGGGTAACTATGATGCTTAAATTACACAGGTTTGTTAAAAAATACTGTTTAAAATAAACAAGCTTATTGCTGACCACTTGCTCTAATTTGTTACTTAACAACAAAACATAAGCAAGTGAAGTTCATGCAACAAATTATTAGCCCATGCAAAATTAATTGTGAAAGGTCATCATACAAACCATACAAATTTAATAAACACAATTTAAATGTTGAAATGAAAAGCAGGAAACCTTTACTTTAATCTCTAAATTCATGTATGCAATGCAATGCAATGCACAACAATACATTCTAGTGACAGATCTACATAAGCAAATGTAGTTTCAGCACCCACAACCCCATATGAATAGTATTAAAAAAAAATGTTCCTGCAATTCATTTTCTAAACTATTTTAACTGATTATACATTTTACATTAACGAAGAGATTTTAACTAAGCACTAAGTCACTCCTTACCTGACACTGAGATCCATGGCAGAATACTTGACACTGGCACTACACTACAGACGTTCTCATTACTGGTAAAATCCAGGAAAACTTTTCTATACAGTAATACTAAGTAACTTATTTCAAATCACTGTTCTATTCATCACTGCCCACAACTGATCATTTTCTTTTTCCACAATATTAGCAATTCACTTTTCCTTAGAGCACTAGGATAACTGCATAAAATAATAGATAATTGTACAGTGGAAGATGATTTTTTTTTTACAACTATAAAAACTTTTTTAAATCAACCAATATGGCTTTCAAAACAAAATACAGTATTTGTGGCGCTATACCATATACAATATGGTATATACATCCAAGTTTACAAATGTCCCTGGATCATAATTATGTGATCTTAAAAAAAAATGAAAATTTACCAGCAAATTAAAAATTACAAAGAAGCTTTTCAAAATCTTCAAAATTACTCCTTCTTAATGTGCAGCTTTTCAAAACTCGCACAACTGGAGACTAACAGTTTTTATACAGACATTTAACCAAGATCTAACATGCTTGCAGTATTTGAACAAGGGTCTAGAGAAGTAATATTAACCTCAGGTTTCAATATCTAATGGAACTGATATGTTTAACAGAAATCCAAACAGGCCTGGTCACAGGGGCGTTGACCCCCCCCCAAACCTTTTCCAGGTATATCCTCTCTCCAGGAGCCAAGCTAAAATAGATCTCCTCTTATCCAGTATGATTTCCATCATTCTCTGAACAAGAGCCCTAGACTATTCGAGTATGTGATTAAGAAGGTTAATATTTCCAAACAGCGTCTTTTCATTCATACTGGGTCAACAGCAGCAACAGGAAATGCTGCATGCGAAAAGACAGTGAAGAGCTAAATGGGCAAAAGTAAAAGTATAATACAGGGAGACAAATTAAGATCAGATGAAGGAGAACAAAAAGGCAGAATGAAAACATTATGAATGTGCAAACATTCTCTGAAACAAGGATGAACAGCCTGCAGCCTTGAGCAGCACATGCAATCTTCAATGTTTATGTAAAAAATTGCCCCCCCTCCCCCCCCCCCAAAAAAAAAAATTGTGATAGAAAATTAAACATACTTAAGTAGCAGTAAAACAAAAATGAATAACTGCAGTACTGTTTCAATCTAATGTCCAATAATCTTGCTAGAACAAGAATTTTAAGTAAAAATCTCAATGGCTGTGCCCCCAGTTAACTTGCTGCCTATCTACAAGAGGATCAACCATCATGCCAATGTCTTTGCTGCTTTAAATATGCTGGCTTATGTATACAGATATACCACGGTGCCCTGTGGTCTGGTGGCTAAAGCTCTCACTTCACATGGCGAGGGTCTGGGTTCAATTCCCAGCAAGGGGAGAAACATTGGGCGTGTTTTTTTACACCAGTTCTCTATGTTCACCCATCAGTAAAATGGGTACCTAGGTGTTAGTGGACTGGTGTGGGTTGCATCCTGGGACAAAACTAACCTAATTTGCCTGAAATGCTCTGCAAAACAAGTGGCTTCCTATATAGTACTATGTCATTGATGTCAGTGATGGTCTGTATACCATGTACATATAATTGTAGTAAATAAAGACTAATAATAATAATAATAATAATAATAATAATAATAATGTATTAGCAATACAGACTTGTGAACACAAATTCAGAGAATATTAAGTGGTTAACATAAAAGCTACTGTAAAACTTTATTATTTAGCAGAACAAGCAATTAATTCAATCCTGAATTAATTAGACTACTGGTACTGTCTTTAATGATAAAAATTATTTTCATATTATTTTCAACTATGATGTAATCTACAAATTAAGTTTTTTATCTTATTACAGTAGAAATTCTGGCCTATTCAATAAGCATCTTCACCAAAATGCTTATTTTTTTTATAATACTGAAAAGCTCAAAATTAAAATGTGAACTTTTGAAAAATTCCACAGTATAAATTTCTCAGGAAAGTGACATGTGAAATCTTTTAACTGTATAAGCACCATTAGAATAATGTATACATATAGGCAGAAACTAAAAACTAAACACTAACATTTGTAAAAGCTATCAGCTTAAGCCAAACAGTACTGTATCAAGAGGTAATCTGAATGCCTGCTGATCCTATTTAGTCCAAATTAAAGGAAAGCAAGTAGCATGCTTCTAAACTTGTTTTACAACCTTACAAAAACTGAATAAAGCTTTACTCAAATTAAAATTACTTTTGTTTTACTGATGAAATCTTCTACAATGGTTGCATTACGAACATGTTTATTAGAGGCATACAGCGGTGGAAAGTTATGAGAATTTATTTAATACAAGGTAACCCAATACCTTTGTCAATGAATAAACATGGTGAAAAGAGACTGCTCAGAGCAAACCTTTGTTTATAGAAAATGTTCATTCTAAAGAGTTCTAGCAAGATTGACTTGGTAAAGCTCCATTTAGTTGTTTGAAAAGTCTAAATAAAGGCTTGCTTGGATGTAAGTAGCAAGTTTTGTCCCTCAAAAGCATTAAAAGTTTTTAAAATTATTCTAGGCAAACATTGAGTAATCTTGCTTTTACTAATCCCAATTTATATACAGCACATTAAACATATAATGGTTAAATATGCTTGTGACCTATGTGGATTTGCAGAAAATTACAAAATTCCCAATACTGTGAAACAAATTTTATATTAAAGTGCCCCAATTTTGACTTTGCAGATTTCACTGATCAGTGCAATAAAGTCCTGTTTCTTATTGTAACATGAGCCAAATATGGAAAAAAGTACAGTACTGTATATAAAAACTATTTTTAGCTATCCATGGTTAAGATAACTGCAGCTGTTATGTCATTTTATTTGTATATTTGATTCAACAATGCAAATTCATGCTACTACAGTCAACAAAATCAAGAGAATATCTAAACAGATGATTTAGGTTGAAGAATATCCCATCTAGACAACTCACTGCAGACGAGAGAAAGCTCAGGAGCAATTGTCCTCGCTCACAGTAAGAGGAGTATTGATCCAGTCAGATATCCAATAAAAGTTTACAGTACTATTCTAATATGATCTATGGCTAGAATATTATGCTCTCTTGGCTTATATATTAATAAATGAATAGAGCATTACTATCTGTATTGCACTACCAGAAGAACTGTAGGAGCTCACTTGTTCAAGGAACTCCCAGAACTACATACAGTATTACAAAGTTGAATAGCCAGGGGGATAAACTGCCCTATAATATTTTTTGTGCAAGTTGCACAGTATCAACACCTATGCAAGTGCTTCAGTACCCACACAAGTTACTGTATTAAGAATTTGCATTTCAGTCAAGTTTGCTACCAACAATAATGTCTAATTATTCAATATTAATTCCCCCCATTTCCAAAACTTGCTTTAATAAAACTAAGCCTATCTATGTTGGCCCCTCACACTTTTACAACTGGACAATTATTTTTTTTTTTTATAAATTAGCCATGATGTACCCTGTATGTTTTTGTAACTACCTGCTAATATATACAGACTTAAAAATAGTAAATCAAACTATGTACTTCTTAAAACCTAGACTGTTTTGCCTGAAAAGCTGTGCATTCTATGGTATTTTCTGACTTTTATATTTTGTAATGCAGTGCTTGGAAGTAAAAAGAATCTAAATCTAAGTTACAGATACTTTACAAAACCCGAGTGCACAATAATGACCATGGATTACATTTTTCCAAACTAATTTAAAAAAGTGATAATTTTGAAATTATTAAAGCATAATAGCTATACCTATAAACCAATTACATATTATAAAACCAAATTTCAATGTATTTTCCAAATGTTCTTACAAGTTGGATGCATAATACTTAAAACTTTGCAACGCTGAGATACCAGGTTCCTATTTTTTGTTTGGATTCTACAATTCACATAAAAGATGCAGTAAGAGTTATGCGTAGAGCCCAACTCTCACAATCATTCCCAGTTATATTAACTAGTTTTATCATAAACTAAAGGAGCACCAGCAAGCTAAATAACCAGCTATTTATCATTATTTAAAACAAAAAAACTAGCTATGATAAGATTTTTATCTATGCATAGTTTACAAACGTTTGACAATCAGTTGACTCGAAGCAAATTCAGTAATATTTTCTTAACAGATGTTAGAAGATACGACAGAAAAAGCATATGCTAAAATGTTAAAATACAACCAAATATTCTGTCAAACTAACTATATTTTACAAGTACTAGTAACAACAATATTTCCCCCAACAAGCTCACTAATTTCCCCTAATATACTCACTAAATCTACAGTTTAATTATGCCTTCCCATTAAAGGCTTCATACCTGTGTTAATTCACAATTATTATAAACACGATTCTATTATATAAGAGTATGAGCAACAGAAAGCTGTTTATAGAAAATCGCAATGTTAAATTTTATAGAAAATCGCAATGTTAAATTTTATAGAAAATCGCAATGTTAAATTTAACAATAGCAACAACGCCTACACTGAGCGTGGCATTTTTATATGCAAGTCACAAAGACCTATTTCCCCTTTTCCAGCAAATTTTTAATGAAAAAAAAACGTGACTCTACAATATCAACTTCCACTTATTTTTCAAATGTAAAGCTCCAAATTTTCAATATTGCTCAATGAGCACAATTTTTCACTACATGCTAAGACAATACATTTAAGCCCAGTTCTTATCCTGCCATTCATAGTTTTTTTTAAGCTTCACAATTCCTCGAAAGGTTTTAAAAAACGAAAGCTTTTTTAACAGCGAAATCCCCTGGCAAAGCCATGACCCGCACACACCACACCAATTCCCTAGTTCACACAACGCAAACTTTCTCCACACACGAATAAAGAAAAAAAAAACTATACACGGCAACACACTGGTCTAGATTTCTTTTTCATTATTCACAATTTTCGTGTTTCAGGCCAATAAGACACAATCACTTGTTCACTGAATAACCTCGTGCCGGTAACACCATTAACAAACATTATCACAGCCACTTTCCTTACAAGTTGTTAAAAGCTTGGGAGGGGGAGGGGGAAAAACAACTGGCACTGTCTCCCCCAGTCCCTCCTCCAACAAATTATCACCATTCTTAATACATTACTACATTTTAAACACTTTAGGGCGAGGAAAGCGCTAAAGACGCAGGGTGGGAACGAGGGGGGAAGAAATGAGTGACAAAACAGCGGGTGTTTGTGTGTAAAAGGGACCCCAGCGTCTTCCCCGACATGTAGCTTCACCCGCGCGAGGTTGACTGACCAGAGCATCTCCCCCTAACCCCCTTCCACATCCCCCTCACCCCTTACCTCCTCCCCTTTACCCCCCACCACTCACACTCACACACCTATTACCTATTCCCGACTACCACATTTTTTCCCCCCCTCAACGCTAACATTAACGTGTAACCTCCCGCTACTTGCCTCGTCCATCTCCAACATCACGAAACTTGTCTTACCTCCAAAGAATTATAAACAAATTAATAAGTCATTAAGTAATGACAATAGAGGAAGCGGAAATATAGAGACCTCCCCGTGAGCAAACACTCACCCCCCCCCCACCCTCCCCCCTCCCCCCCTGGTTGCCCCCCTGCAAGCGTCACCCAAAATCACTTTTCAAGACAAACTCAGACTCCTCTCTCACCACTTCCTTCATTTCTACACTCGTGTCCGGCTGCCAAACACTCGTGTTTACGGCCCCAAGACGCTTAACAGCGCCTATACAGGCGTTATTAGCGATACTTTTATATTTACTCAATGAATATCGGGCGTGTGGAGAAGTACACAACAAACTCATTAACAGTATCATGACAGACTTCGTAATGGCGGAAAGTCTCCAGGCGTTATCACACTACTCTCTCCCTATTCAATACCAAACGCCCTCTTAAAATACTAGTAAAATTCTAGATACTCACAACATTATTTTGCACACAAGAATGACTTGTTATTTCGATGGGAAAAAGTTAGTAATATGCACTTCCGGAGGATCAAAAAATGTGTGGAACATCCATCAGCTGGTGAGTGTCCTTTGTCGGCGCTCACTCTCACCAGCACTCCCGCACATCACATTCATCCACTTTTCTCCTTTCCGGTGCACTTTCCTTCTCTAATTCACTCACTATGGCAATACTGGGCTCACGAGCTTTGCTACGACACCCCACATGATGGGGTTCACTCGCGACGGTGACACAGTGTGGGGGTCAATCGTTCAAGGACTGAATTTGTGCCAACAACCATATCGATTCTATTTCACAACAAACACAAACGTAAACTGTTCCTTGCTAGGCTCCACGCCGATTATTTCCACCTCCGGCAAGAAAGCCGAGCGTTAAGTGGGCACCAGAGCAAGCACTGCACCTTGCACTGAACAAAATACAAGGGAGTAACACCTCACGGCCGCCAAGCAGCGTACATGTGGCAAAAATTAGGAGATAATCCGGAGCGCGCCCACGACCAACATGGCGCCTTGTCTCCGGTTAATGGCTACGGGGCCGCCCCGCTGGACGCACGGACTCCCGCGCACACCCGCCCCCACCATTCACACCCATTACATCCCCATTACTATACAACAAATATTTTTTTCCCTTCCATTTCTCATAGGCCTCCTTTCCTTACTTTTCCCATCCATCCGCATCTCACTTTTCGAGTGAGATTATTAATAACTCATTAACTAATTGACATTGTCGCTTCGTCACTTACTCTCTTAACTGCTCAATTAATAATAGTCTAGACCCATTACCATCAATGAATGAAAGTTCAATAGCCTCTTGCTTGCCCTCTGTAAGTTAGTGGTGAGGCCAACCATCGCTCCTGGGAACAACCATCACAACACCAACCATCACTATATTACTAATATATACATCATACATACATATATAAATCTTCTACTATAACTTAACCTCAAAACCCTCTAAGTATAAACAATTATAGCTCATCTTAGAACTTTCCTCTCCTTACTCACTATAATACACACAGGATTCCTGGTTATATGAATATCCATCGATGGTCGATGGGAAAAAATGCATTTTAGAAATGGATTATGTAGGTAGGCAACCGGGGGGGGGGTGTATATATGTACGTGTGTGTGTTGGTATATATGTGTATCATCTGCATCGTGCCGCCCGCCTACACCATCCTCGATACATCATCACCACCAAACACCTCACTGCTAGTACCTCCCCCTCCCTCTCTCTCTCTCTCTCTCTCTCTCTCTCTCTCTTTATCTCTATCTGTCTGCTGTTACCCTACACTACACCACTTGTGGTGTAGTAGTATTGTGTAGTGAGTGTGCGAGGTGCCTGGGGAGAGAGGTAGGTACTTACACAACCATGACAAGCACTGGCAATGTAGTCAGCACTTTTCACCGCCAACCAGTACACCCGTCACCACCACTACCACCATCACTGCCCCTTTCCTCAACTCTACCCCCCTCCCCACCTTCCTTCACACCCCCGCTTCTCCCTATCACTCATTCGTTTTAGTCCCCATTACCCACTAGCCTTACCTCACCTTCTTACCCATTCCCGTAACCCAACTTGTTCCCTCTACCCACCAGCCTTACTCGAGTAGTCTTCCTTGTTTCCTCCCGTACCATTTATCATACCTCAGCCCCATTACCCATCCAATTCCCCAGTCCCTTACCCATCCCTCAGTCCCTTACCCATCCCCCAGTCCCTTACCCATCCCCCAGTCCCTCACCCATCCCTCAGTCCCTTACCCATCCCTCAGTCCCTTACCCATTTTGCTAATTACTCCCAAAACCATGGACAAGTACAAGAAGGAATTCAGTTCATTGTTATTACTCTCCCATGTATCACAACCCCATAACTACACTCCCATGTACTACACCAACCCCATAACCACACTCCCATGTACTACAACCCCATAACCACACTCCCATGTACCACACCAACCCCATAACCACACTCCCATGTACTACACCAACCCCATAGCCACACTCCCATGTACACACCAACCCATAACCACACTCCATGTACTACACCAACCCATAGCCACACTCCCATGTACCACACCAACCCCATAACCACACTCCCATGTACTACACCAACCCCATAACCACACTCCCATGTACTACACCAACCCCATAACCACACTCCCATGTACCACACCAACCCCATAACCACACTCCCATGTACCACACCAACCCCATAACCACACTCCATGTACTACAACCCCATAACCACACTCCCATGTACTACAACCCCATAACCACACTCCCATGTACTACACGAACCCCATAACCACACTCCCATGTACTACACCAACCCCATAACCACACTCCCATGTACTACAACCCCATAACCACACTCCCATGTACTACACCAACCCCATAACCACACTCCCATGTACCACAACCCCATAACCACACTCCCATGTACTACAACCCCATAACCACACTCCCATGTACTACACCGACCCCATAACCACACTCCCATGTACCACAACCCCATAACCACACTCCCATGTACTACAACCCCATAACCACACTCCCATGTACTACACCAACCCCATAACCACACTCCCATGTACTACACCAACCCCATAACCACACTCCCATGTACTACACCAACCCCATAACCACACTCCCATGTACTACAACCCCATAACCACACTCCCATGTACTACAACCCCATAACCACACTCCCATGTACTACACCAACCCCATAACCACACTCCCATGTACTACACCAACCCCATAACCACACTCCCATGTACTACACCAACCCCATAACCACACTCCCATGTACTACAACCCCATAACCACACTCCCATGTACTACAACCCCATAACCACACTCCCATGTACTACACCAACCCCATAACCACACTCCCATGTACTACACCAACCCCATAACCACACTCCCCCACGAGACAAAAGAACATAAGGCTAGTAAGTGCGAAGTGTTGTGTTGAGTGGGAGCCATGATTGTATTTTGAGAACACTGGAATAGAGAATAAAGTATTGAAATGTCGTGATAAGACGCAACACAATCTCAAGAGGAAGGGTAACCATGATAACAAGTGTCTAGGCTAGCCTCCGGCAAGCTCTACCTGTGTTGTGACTCTCTCTCTCTCTCTCTCTCTCTCTCTCTCTCTCTCTCTCTCTCTCTCTCTCTCTCTCTCTCTCTCTCTCTCCAAACTCCCAAGTAGTCACTGAAGCTAAAACCTTGTGTAGTTTTACAAATAGGTTAGATGAATACATGAGTGGGTGTGAGTTGGACCTGCCTCACATGGGCCAGTAGGCCTCCTACAGTGCTCTATCTCTCTTATGTTCGTTCTCTCTCTCTCTCTTTCTCTCTTTCTCTCTCTCACTCTCATGCTGGTGATCTCTAAATGCCTCCGTGGTGAGGGGCTCTTGATTCAAGGAAATGGATCTAACTAATCCTTGGATTGAACATCAACGTCTCCCATCCCCCCGGACGCTGTTATGGCTCCTACGGAACTAGCACTTCCCGTTGTATATAATAGCAGAGAGACCAAGGATGAACGGTGATGGTGGTAGTGCTAGTAGTGTTGATGGTGGTGGTGCTGGTACCTGTAGTGGTGGTGGTACTTGTATTGGTGGTGGTACTTACAGCGGTGGTGGTACTTGTAATGGTGGTGGTACTTGTACTGGTGGTGGTAGTGGTGGTGGTGGTACAGAGGTGAAGTACTGACATTATCGACTTGGTATGCCAATTGAGGATCCGTGTTGAGGGTATGTAGTGTACTGGGCACTGTGTGAAGGGTACATAGTGTACTGGACACAGTGTGGAGGGTATGTAGTGTACTGGGCACTGTGTGGAGGGTAGTGTACTGGACACAGTGTGGAGGGTATGTAGTGTACTGGGCACAGTGTGGAAGGTATATAGTGTACTGGGCACAGTGTGGAGGGTATATAGTGTACTGGGCACAGTGTGGAGGGTATATAGTGTACTGGGCACAGTGTGGAGGGTATATAGTGTACCGGACACAATGTGGAGGGTATATAGTGTACTGGGCACAGTGTGGAGGGTATATAGTGTATTGGACACAATGTGGAGGGTATGTAGTGTACTGGGCACTGTGTGAAGGGTATATAGTGTACTGGACACAGTGTGGAGGGTATATAGTGTACTGGACACAGTGTGGAGGGTATGTAGTGTACTGGGCACAGTGTGGAAGGTATATAGTGTACTGGGCACAGTGTGGAGGGTATATAGTGTACTGGGCACAGTGTGGAGGGTATATAGTGTACTGGGCACAGTGTGGAGGGTATATAGTGTACCGGACACAATGTGGAGGGTATATAGTGTACTGGGCACAGTGTGGAGGGTATATAGTGTACCGGACACAATGTGGAGGGTATATAGTGTACTGGGCACAGTGTGGAGGGTATATAGTGTACTGGCCACAATGTGGAGGGTATGTAGTGTACTGGGCGCAGTGTGGAGGGTATATAATGTACTGGACACAGTGTAGAGGGTATATAGTGTACTGGGCACAGTACACTATATACCCTGAGCACAGTGTGGAGGCATGGTGTGGCTGGTGGTGTGGCTCGTGGTGTGGTTCGTGGTGTGGCTCGTGTTCTCATACTGATCCTCCACCTTGCAATGGACTGACAACTTCATTTCTTTCAGAGTGCTTCACTTGTGAGCAACCTGCTTCCCTGAGCTGACTGTGGTGGCAACCTCTTGTAAACCCCCCGAACCCCCTGAACCCCGACTCCTAGAACCCTCGTCCCTCACCGACAACCCCAGACACCCGAACCTCCGACCCTGCATTCACAGGCTAAAGAACCCCGGTGAATGGTTATCAAGGACCCCAGTGACAAGCAAGGATCATCGTGGATACCAGTGACCTTAATGTATAGCAAGGACCCAGTGTAAATCAATTACTCCAGTGTTAATCAAGGACCCAATGTAGAGGGTCCAGTGTTAATCAAGGACCCAATGTAAATCAAGGACACAACGTTAGTCGAGTGCTCCAATGTAAATCAAGGACCCGTCGTAAATCAAGCATTCCAATGTAAATCAAGTATACTCCAGTGTAAATCGAGGACACAATTTAAGTCAAAGACCAAATGTAAATCAAGGATCCAATGTAAACTAGTTCTCCAGTGTATATCAAGGACCCAATATAAATAAAGTATTACAATGTAAATCAAGTGATACTCTCCCTGCATGATACTCTCTCTGAGTGATACTATTCTTACATGTTACTCTCCCTGCATGATATTCTCCCTGCATGATATTCTCCCTGCGTGATATTCTCCCTGTATGATGCTCTCCCTGCATGGTATTCTTCCTGTATGATTCCATGGATGATACTCCCTCTTCATGATTCCCTGTATGATAATCTCCCTGTATGATACCCTTCATGCATTATACTCTCCCTTAATGATAATCTCCCTGCATGATACTCTCCGTGTATGATACGCTCCCTGCATGATATTCTCGTTACATGATACTCTCCATGCATGATGCTCTCCTTGCATGATTCTCTCCCTGTTTA